GAGTGTCCGAGTGGGTCAGTCACTGCAAGGGCAGGTACAGCATGGAGGATGTACGGTAGGGCAACTACTCCGTACAACCTACTAGATACAGGTGCGAAGAGTCCAAAGGGTGCTCCGTTAAGGAGATCTAGCCGACTCAGTGGGGAAAACCCGCGAAGAGCAGCTGCTGGACTTGGCAGGATGGTGTCGGGCGTCAGTCAGTCAGTCAGTCGGTCAGTCCATACTCCCCCGTACCGGGCATAGCAAGTGTGGTCTACCAATTGTTTTTTGTATAGTAAACATGAGAAGTGTGTATGAATGTATGTATATTGCATTACCGCTGCAATGGCGCTGGAAATAACGTCTAACTATAAGTCATGCAGTCATCTTCATCTATGCCGTCGTGGGAGTAGCAGCGGCATCGGCCCCCTGTCCGGGAGCCGTACTCGCGGACACCACTGCCACCTCCTCATCCTCCTGACGCTCCTCATTTCCGGGCGCAGCTTTTACCTCCTCGGCTAGAGATGTCGCGCCGTTGCTGTCCGCTGGCTCCTTCGGTGTATCGAGCATGCCGTTCTCGCCAAGCCAAACAATTGCCTCCATCACCTTACGGTCATCCTCGGTTTTTTGACGATCCAAAAGCTGATGATTGTGCCTGTTAGTTGGGATGTGCGGGACTTGGGAGTCCGACAAAGAACACTTACCGCTTGAAGAAGTCCCTTTCGTCCCTTTTGCTCCGCGTGTTTTGTTTTGGCTCCTCGCTCGGGCAGTTCATGCGAGAACTTGCACCGATTCCCATGCAAACAACGGCCATTACGGGCAAAATGCCGGCATACCTTCTTCTTCGGTTCGCGAGCCGGCGGTGGCACTCGCTCCGGCCCTTCGCGTTTGGATGTGGCTTCCTCGGGTGCAGCATCATCGTCGCTGTCATCAGAACCCTCAGAAGATGATTCAGATCCGCTGGAAGATGTCCAGTCACTGCTATCAGAGTCGTCTAGGGACGATACGCTGGCTCCGTCGTCGACCTGAATTCCCGCAACCTGTGCGTTTGCATCATTTGCAGAAACCTGCTCCGCAGCTGGGGCACCCGCTGGTAGCGTAGTGGGCTCGGGTGGCTTGATCAGAAGATCCGGGGCAGTTTCTCTTGGGGCAACAGGCTGAGCCTGATCGGCGGATGTGCTTGTTGAACTCTTTTGGAGTTCCTCCACCTTTATACGGGCCCTCTCAGCATCGGCTTCAGCTTTAGCGACCCGCTTTTCTTCTCTAATCAATTTTCGCCGCAGCTTGTCCGCTTTGAGCTTGGCCTTCGCAGCAATATCGACAGGATCATTAGAATCCTTCTGCCCGTCCTTTTGGCCCTGCTGCTCGCGCTCTTTCTGGTTCTTTGAATCCTTCTGCGGGGCTTTCTGCTCCTGTCGCTGCAACCTCCTCTGCCGCAACGCCTCTCGGGCCTTCTTAGCCTCCGCCAGGGCTGTCTTCTTCTCTTCGACTCTCGCCTGGGTCGGAAAGCGCTTCTTCCGTTCTTCGATCCACGCTTTGATGTCCTCAGGCGACTGTAACGTCGAAGTTCGTCCCCTGTAGGTAAATTGCAGAGGCGCAGAAGCGCTCGCTGCCCCTCCTTCCGCGGCCAGCCGTGCCTCCTCATCCACGCCGTCTTCCTCTTCACTAGACTCATGGTATTCCGTTTTCGGCGTCAAACCAAGTTGGTTATGCTTTCTCTTCTTCTTCTTTGGCTTTCGAGCGGCGTCAGCCGTTGGAGGTGGTTTGGAGGGCAGCAGAGGGTTTCCAAAACTAGGGACCGGTGGTGGTGCCACAACTCGAGGCGCACTTGTCTGAGGTCGGCGCCCAAAAGCCGAGTTATGGTCCCGTTTATTGCCGTGGTTCCTTTGCTTATCTGGTTGGACATTGTGATGGTTGTGGTTGAAGGCGCGTCCACCTCGCTGGTGCCCGCGTTGCCCTCCGGAAAAGCTTCCCGTCGATCCCAAATTGTCAAATCCCCAGCGCATAGGCGGCCCCATGAGTGGGGGCTGGACCGTTTGCGCAGCATGGTTGTGAGAAGGTACGGTGGGAGGGTATGTAGGAGCAGGTTGTGCAGCGGCCACAGGGTAGTTCTGTTGGGTTTGAGACGGAGTAGGAACGTGTGCTCCGCGCGCTGGGACGTACGGTTGGGGCGGGTTGAAGGATGGTGCAGCTGTAGTACGATGCTGGAGATTGGGCGACCGCGTAGGCGCGAACTGGGGAGTCGGAATTGCTTGTGGAGTGGGAGCGTGAGGCTGAGGCGTGTATCCCGCGTAATTCATCGGTGTGTAGCCGCCGACAGACCCAGGACCGGTGGCCGCGACAGCCGCAGGCGAATATCCCCGATTGGCATTCAAATCGGGTGCCATGGAATGGCTGCCGCCACGTCCACCCCCTCCACCGCCGCCACGGTGATGGCTTCCGTAGCCTCCTCTCCCCCGACCTCGATAGTGTGCACCGGGGGCGCGGCCGCCGCGTTGTTGACCGTCATAGCCCGCATTGTACTGTGCTGCATAGGGAGCAGCGTTGTGTCCATGGTGGTATTGCTGTTGCGGATGCGGGTGTTGCTGGTGTGGCGACTGGTGCGGCTGGTGCTGGTGCGGGTGCTGGTGCTGGGAGGAAGGGGGAGGAGGGGGAGGCGGAGGAAAAGAGAACCCCTGAGGATTGTTGTTCATGGTGAAAAGGCCTCGATCAATCTTCCAAAGGTGATAGAGACAGCCAGCATGCACGCCATTCTCTTTTTCTCGGATCTAAGAGCGGCGGCGAGGTCGAGCTCGGCGCTACTTCTTATAACCAAATGGGCGGCGGCGGATGGGACCTTTCGCTGCAGTGGCCGCCGAGATTCTTCCGTTCCGAAGGACGCATCAAATTGCAAATGGGTCACGTGATATGATCTCGGCCTCGGAGGTGGCGGCGGTTTGCCCTCAGGCAGAAAATTCAGGCCGACCTGCCGCCTGCCAGTGGTGGGAATTGCATCTTATCGCATGCAGCTAATCGGATATTGTTTGAGTCGTGATCTTTACATGCCCTGACATGGCGTCGGAGGGGTGAATCTGTTTAGTTCCATGAGAAGAATTTGATAACGACCTGCAAAAACGGGGTATGGAACTGTGTCCCATCATCCTCTGAGGTTTTGACTTGTTCTCGTGTCTTGTACTCCTACCTAAATTATTACTCGATTGGGACGAAAGAAAAAAAATTCCCGGGCTCCGTCACCAACACGCCGTGTGCGCATCCTCGCCCAGCATGTTCATCCTTGTCAGTCTCCTTGAAAACCATGTGCTCTCCTTGACTGCAGTAACTGTGCTTGACCTAAAAGTAACATCGACTGACCGGGTTTCCACAGACCACTGTCTCTGATCTCATCCAGATCTCCCCCGAGGATTTCTCGAAGTACAGCGCTGTGGCCCTCGAAGATAATATCAACGAGAAGTATGCCAATAAAGTGAGTTCACCCTTGCCAACCCCTACCCCGTGCCTCGAGTGTCCAAAGCATATATGCTACATGAACTAAAACCTCATGGGACAGGTGATCCAAAAAATCGGTCTGTGCATTGGGTTCTATGACCTGCTCGAGTCCTCGGACGGTCTTATCGGCCATGGAACCGGACTCGTCAATGTGAACGGTAAAGGCTCCTCTTCCTCAACATGCAGAAGCTCCCTTTCTGACCTCGGATGGCAGTAAAATTCCGACTCATCGTCTTCCGTCCCTTCAAGGGAGAGATCATGCTCGGAAAGATCTCGAGTGCTACTGAACATGGCATCAAAAGTGGGCTTTTCCCCCTCCCTCTCCGCCTCCTTTCGACTATAGCCCATGCTCTTCGCCTTGACGCCCGGTTCCACTTCTGACACATGGGTTTTTTCCCTTCTAGTCGGTGTAGAATTCTTCAACGATATCCTCGTCCCTCCCGATCTCCTCCTCGACGGAGCCAGATTGTAAGTCCTCCCCCCTTGCCTTCTGCTTCCCTCATACCCAGCCCCCATCCTCTCTCCAATAACGTCCCCACCTCCCACCACATACTAACTTCAAGGACAAATAGCGACTACGCAGATCAAGTCTGGATCTGGGAGAACGAAGACGGCTCGACATTTTATTTCGATGTCGGAGAGGTCGTCCGTTTCCGCGTGGAGATGGAGGAGTGGCATGATCAGATCCCCAACGCCCCCGATCTAGGCGATGGCGCCGCCGTGATCGAACGGAAACCACCATATTCAATCATTGTACGTTTCACTTTTGACTCCCATCGATTTAAATCTGCGTGCCTCGTGGGGGATGGATTATCATATATTAACGGCTAGGCAGGGTTCGATGCAAATGGCCGGCTTGGGACCCATATCTTGGTGGTGATCGAATGGATCCTCTTTCTTTCTTTCTTTCGTTTTTTCTATTTTAGATTTCCCATTTCCTGGTCGTGTTCATTCCTGGCGTATATGTTTGTTTGGCTACAGAAATCGATTTGGGGTAAATCTGATAAAGTGAGTCATCAAAGTGATGTGGGCATGTGTAATTTTACGAGGGGAGGGGGGCTTCTCTTTCTGGCTAGGTGTCTCAAAAGTTGCTTTCAGGTAGGAACATAATAGGGTATGTTAGGATTTGGCGCAGGCGTGATATATCAACTTAATACTGTTGTACGTCGATGTCTTGGTCCGACTTCCTGGCATACATGGTTGCTGAAACTGCTGCTTTAGGGTTCAATAGGCCGATTATTCACTGAAGAGGACCCACATATCATAAACATGGACTACCTGAAGAAATTGTAATTGATGCTTAGATAGAATGGGGATACATTTTCTATGCGAGCATGGGATGCCGACCTAAGGGCCAGCTGCTCGGGAGTACGGAAACAAGCCTTGGGATACCTTCAACAGGGCAAGCTTTATACACATCTCAGAGATGAGGCGAGGGACTAACCCGCGGACAGTGGTCAGAGGAATATGAAAATCCTGGCGCAGCAAATATCATCACATTATTCATTACGATCCTAGATAAGACCATCAATGCCAAGCTGCGAACCTACCAGAGGCGACAGCCATCGAACCGGGCATTGAGGGTGGGCAAACACGCTAGTGGATTGAAATCATCATGAGCCATCCATCTAAGAAGCTGCCCACAGCGGGGTCACCCGTCTGACGTATTTCATAAACTTGAAGAACCCGACGGCATGTTCAACATTGCCATATGGATCAACCACCCGCTCCGGGAATGCGATACCAGCCCCATAAAGGCCTCGGACAATGCGCCCATCGGGATCATAAAAGCCACCTGAGACCGAGTCAAAGTCAGGCTCCAATGGACGGCCATTGACCGATAGCTCTGGGAGTGGGTCTCGCGTAAAGCCCACGGCTTGAACTATATGCGTGCATGATGGCAGGACCCGCTGGTATTGGGCTGATTCCTGGCCGCCCCCGCAGTCTACCTTCGTGATGAAGCGGCCGGCCTCGGACTGGGGTAGTTTGTCATCCTCCAACTGCTGGCGAGCGAAGTCAGCGGCATGACCCTTGAGTCCAGTATTATCTCGGAGGATCCAGCCATCCATAAACTCCGCGTAACGCAGCGGATGTCGCGTGAACCATTTGATGCGGAGTTCAGGATGGGAGCTGCGTGCCAAGTCTACCAGGTTGAGTAGGGCTAGAATTGCACTGTGAGAGGCTCCTACCACGGCAATTTCCAAGGGCTTGTTGTGGGGAAGATGTGTGATTAGTTCACTAGGCTTCAGCACAAGATCAAGGTCCAGCCTTTCTATGTGGTGCCCGGTAATAGGGATCGAGACTTCCGTGGGGGATGACCCCGTGCAGAGAACGAGTCGGGGTGTCATCACATCAATCTCGTCTTGGGATTCTTGAAATTTGATTCGAACTGTCCAATCGGATGTCTACACAAAGTTAGCATTACGGGAGAAGCTTTACCAGGAGAACAGCGCGAACCGACCTGCTCGGAAAGATTGGCAGCTGTGACTGTACCCCGGCATGGCAGAACATTGTCCATCTTCGTGAGTCCGTCGGTGAGCGCACAGACCACATCCGCAGCATGATGTAGATGACAGGTCTTATCCTGGTCAAGCTTGGCCATAGTCGTAAAAGGATTAGGCATGCGGGTATCGGCAATAACGGATCTGAAGGGTTGAACGGCGGTAGCATAAGCTTGGAAAAACGACACCTTGGTGTTGCTGATGCTGTGGTGTCAGCGAGGATGCTCCCGGGCCACAGTTTCGATCGTAATTAGAGAGCCTGATCCGGGCACACTCACCTGGGAACTTCGCGATACTTCCGATTGACTCGCCCTCCTTGAAAGTACGGATCAACCCAGGCTATCTTTCCACCAAGCCGCTTTTCTAGTAGATTTCCAACAACTGCCAAACCAGCAGGACCAGCTCCCACCACAACCGCGGCACATCTCTGAGGCTGTGCCATTCTGAGGACGCTTTCTGGCTGTAGAGACCCTCAGGCAACGAGATACCGTATCAAAGCTCCTAAGTGTCCACTATGGAGAAAACCCACAGTATGTAGTATCCGAAGAGCAAGCTGAATAACTTCAGAGGAGAGGGCGAATGAGCAATTTAAGGTAAAAGCTCAGGGCGATTGAAGAGGATTGCCGGAGTAATTCTCGGCGAAATCATCAAATCAGAACCCCTTCGGGGATAGACAAATAAGAGACTCATCATGGTCACTCTGGAAAGATACACTGATATCTTAGCAAGCCTGAGGAGGGCTGTTGTTGAGGGTTGCTCAGTCGGCGAATAAGTCAATCGGCGATTGACCACGCAGGGTGCCCGAAGAGACCGACGGCAGGCGTCGACGGTGTCCACGGTGTCTGCGTCAACTCTCGGGCGAGATCACGCATCACACACCGTCCAGACAGTTCAGGCGGTGATGAACAGTCCGCTTACTGGTTCCTGCAGTGAGCCAGTGCAGCTCCTTGTTTGGGAGTTTGGGAGTCAGTCAACTGATCAATGGTTGAGGACGTTGCGCAACCAACGCGGCCTGCCCCACCGGAATTGCTGCTTCGCTTTCCGTCGGCTGCTGTCATGGCGTATTCTGGTATCCATTCTGTAGACATGGGAATGTTGAGAGTGAGATAGTAAATAGTGTTAGTGTTCAGGGAAGGGCCACATGAACCCTCCCTAGATCGATTGATCGTCTCACATTTTCAATCTTTGTGTACCAACAAGAGTAAAAGCAACCAACGTTGCTGGCCATGAGGAAGATCGCGACCTTATATTCAGGTGATACTTAACAGAATGGGACGCTCGGCAGAATTGCGTGATTTTGTATAGGAATGAGGTGATCATCCCTCGTGCCTGATTTGGCAGGCCGCCACTAGTACTGTACTGTACTCCGTAACTTGTTAACCTTCTAAGTTAGCCCCCGCGTCAGCGCCACGGCCGCTGGCGGAAATCCGGGGTATGCTGCCCGGCACTGAATGATGATGTAGCTGAGAATGCTCTTCCTACTCACAGTAATTATCTTTGAGCCTAAAATTTATACACGATGATTATTTGCTGGCTACTTAACTATGCGATTGATCCATGCTGATCTTGCCGTGCCAGTTTATGACTATCATTTACCGTCCGAGACTGGCCCTTATCAAGCCACCTTAACTGGAAAGAAACGCTCGTTCCGGCCTAATCACACAGCCCAGAATACTCGCACCATCACCCGCTCAACATGATTGATCCATCCCCCAAATCGAGCTCTCCCCCAGATCTGGATGGCATCACCCACTTCTAAAGCACGAACTTGACTACCGTCTAAGGTTGCACGCCCACGACCCTGGCTGTTTTCGATGTCTTCTGCTTCACTGGAGTCGCTGGGGATGTTATCCAGATAATGCCAAGTGATACGATGTAGCTGGGTATTCTTGTCCGCCGTTCGGTTTGACTGTAGCTTATGAGGGCTCGGGAGTAGAAGAGGATCGCCCGATTCGAAGTGTACCCGCTGCTGCTCCTGACTCGGCGCTTCATTTGGTGGAGGCGGCTTCTGGGCCGAGTGGATAATCTGGGTGTCGAACCATGTGAAAGACCCGTCGTATGGACCTTTATTGCGGGCACCGCCACCCCATCCCTGGTCATGGGCTGAGATGGTAAACATGATCTTGCGGCAAGGGTGAGCGGTTCGATGGGGAAGCACCCGGGGAGAGTCGGAACTTAATGTCTATGCATTTTCATCAGTTCCGGTAGGTTTGAATCATTGTCGTAGCTTTCATTATTCGACTGGATGCGAGACTGGTGTCACTTGGGACGGTAAGGACATACCTCCATAGCATAGCACAGTGGCACGGTTGTTAACAGCACCTGGTCCTGATCCTTTCGGATAATCGTCTCTCCTTCCAGGCTAGACTCGCTGGTTGCCCAGTATTCGGCCGCGTCCACGATCATGTCCACAAGCTCACAAGGGAACAGCTCCTCCGAGTCTCTCTTCCATTTCCAAATATGCTGCAGCAGGTATCGGACCTTCAACACGTCGTAGCAGCTAGGGTAGTATGTATCGTTATCCAATGCCTTGGCCTCTTCCTCCGATGAAGCGCCGGTCTCGTTGTCGTTACCTGAGGGGTTCGGTGGTCTTCGAATCCCTCGAAGTCGATGGACGAACGGAAGCATCATTGTGGGTAATATAAGTCGCGATATCAAGCAACAGACTGCAGGATGATAAGCGAATCGCTTGCGAGGGTGAATCTGTTAGGTACAAAGCTATATTTCATCGAACCTAGAAGCGCATCGGACTGCTGGCCGTGAGTGAATGCCAGGCTGATCCACTTCTACTCAAAGACGAACAATAGGGCTTAAAGCGTCTCGGGCAATTGCTTGTGAGGCGCTTGAATATTCCTACTGCACCTCATGCGCGCCAGACGACAAGAGCGGGGACACGTCGCGTTTGTCTCACAGAAGAGGTCAAGCTTGCGAAGTTGATTTTATGTGGAAAGTTTATCCTGATTTCTAGTTGAGACGGGGTAGTGATCGGATATTATAATGTGGAGTCTGGGTACGGATTAGTAGCAGCTCACAATCGATAAGGAATGCGCCCGCGCAATGACGTCACTGGTCTTGAGTTCCTGGAGGCAAACGACGCCACGAAAGTTTAGGAACGAGCACACTTTTGTAGCATGTAGGTCTATACCAGCCCTGACAAACATAGATCATGAAAATCCTCATAGGTTTGACTTGACTTTCACACCCAGTCGTGCTTTTACACAAGTTCGCAATCTCCTATGTCCATCCGGGATGATAAATTACATACATGAAACGCGCCATACAACGAACGGAAGATTATTCCTACTGGTCCAACTTGCCTTTCCTACCACCAGCAGCCTTGTATGCTGCAGCGCGCTTGCTACTCCGACTGTTGCGCTTAGCCTTCGATCCACGACTCTTCCCCTTGACTCGGATGCGTGATGCTCCTTCCGTGGCTCGCTGACCTTCAAACACCAACGAGTTCTGCGAGATGGAGGTCCTTCCTGCAGCCTTGACCTTGGATGCTCCGGCTCGGCCAAAGAGTTTACCAGCACGACCCTGAAGTGTCTTATCCGCGCCTGCAAGGGCCTTCCCTCGATTGCTGCCACTGGAATCGCGCTTCTTCATGATCTTCTTAGCTCGAGACACACGTAGCTTGCGCGGGAGCATAGGGGGGTATTGCTTTCCTTCCAGCAGGAGGGCTTCCTCCACGCAATTTTGATCATAAAACTGAACATAGGCAAACCCTTTTCCAACACGCGTGGCAGAATCACGGACCACTCGAACCGACTCAACGCTACCCTTGCCAGAACTGTCCTTCTTTGACCCACCGGTGTGGGCATTGAACACCCTCCAGAGACCCTCTTCCACATCTGCGGGGGCCCGCGGCTTTTTCCTCTTCTCATCATCAAGTTTGGTCTCATTATCAATGAAGTCCAAGTTGCCAACGAAGACACACCGCTTGTTGTCGATTTGAGCGGGATGCGCGACGCTATCAACACGCAGATGGCGATCGAGGACAACGGTGCCGTTCAATGCAGCCGGGGCCTTTCGGGCAGCCTGCACCGTTGAGTACACAGCATATGCGTTTGTGCATGGAGTCGTGTCATCCAAAACTTCCTTGTTTGCGAATGCAGCTCGCTTTGGTACCTTGCCTCCGCTAGCGAAGGCTGTCGAGCGGAAGCGGATTGATTCAACTTTGTGGGGTCCTGTGGATTCTGGAAGCGAGTCAAGGAAAGACCCAAGGTGTTTGAGAAGCGTCTTCTTAGCAGACTTAGACTTGATAGCCTCGTTCGACACATTGCCAAGGAACACAGTGCGATTAGACTTATCCAGTTCCGCGTTCTCACCGGCTCCAGTAAGACTCTCATGCTTCGGCACCGCAGTCTCCTCTTCATCTTCGCTGTCGCTTTCATCGTCGCTTTCATTAGGCTGTTCCTCCTCGTCTTCGTTTTCACCCTCTGTGATCTTTTGTCGCTTAGCCTTCTCTTCACGACGCTTGAGTTCCTCCTTTTGCTGCTCCTTCTCTATGCGACGCATGTACGAGTCCTCGACTTCTTCGGCCGGCGCCCTCTTCCGCTTCCGATTAGAGGCCTCGGAGACATTCACCGCCGATATACTTCCAGAATCACTCTCGGCCTCTGGGGCCTCTTCCATTTCTTCGTCTTCCGCCTCGGAGATCTCATCCTCGCTCTCGTCATCTTGCTCATCTTTCGTAGCGCGCTTTTCTGCCGGAACGATTATTGTCGGAGTCTTGACTGGACCGGCCTGTTGTAGAAAAGTGTCAGCTCAATTGGCACTTGGGCATGATAAAAAGCCTGAAACGTACACTCGTCGCGAACAAGGAAGCCAAAGAAGGATCTATGGGGGCAGTTGTTCCCAGAAGGGAGACAGATGTTTCTGTCTTGGCCATTACGGCGAAAACCTATGAGATGTCGGAAACCCTTTGACGATGAATGGTCCACCACTTGAACACGAGACAGCGATCAGGTTCGCTTTCGTTGCTGCAAATCTTATGACGGGTGTTTCTGTTTCCGTATTTCTTCAGCCAACTTTTTTTTCTCTTGCTTTTTTTGGAGGCGGTCTTGGCGACGGAAAGCCGGGGCAGATCACGTGGAGTCGGCTCTCTCCTCTCACTCCATCCCCCTCAAAGAATTGTGGGAGACTAATGTCGTGAAGCTATGCTCAGATGGCGAGGTCAGCTTAATTCTCCTAAGAGATGCTTTAATACCCTCGAAACTATGTTAGATATCGTATCGCAACTATAGCCAGTGTAAAACGTGCTCGGTGTTCTCCCCAGACTATAGTGAGAATGCCCTAGCGAACCACTTCAGGCGGTGAGCCCTCATCCGGCGAAAGGAATATACAGCCGGCAGAACTCAATACGGGCGGAATACAGCAGGGTGACGCCGGCTCTGATTAGTGAGTGGTGAGGATGATTGCTGCTGCTGCTGCTGCTGCCGCACTTCTTCTCCCTCCTCCTCCCGCGCCATCCAAGCTGCCATCTCGATTCTGCGCTTCAGACTTGGTGATTTCAATTTCCAATCTTGTTTCATTCCATTCCTCTCTCTCTTACCTTTGCTTCCATCCGTTCTCCTTGTACAGCCGACTACGCTTCTCTCTTCCATGCCGCTCAGACTTCCGTTACGCTGCACTTGTCGTCCTGCCCGCTTCCTGAAAGTCGACGCCCACCACAACCGCCTCCTCATTGTCCCTCTCGCTTCTCGTTGACTAGAAGTTCGTCTGCGCATTCCCATAGACCGAAGACATACTTGAGTGCAAGGTCGGGGCTTTGGAGATTTGTGGATAGGCCTACCTTCCCTGATTCCTTCTCCGCGACCGCGGTGGTTCAGGGAATCGTGCTCGGTCGCGGCAGCTGAAACACCACGGATTTCACTGTCGGCGCATTGCTAAAAGGTATGTTTCCCAATGCTTTTCGAGCCAGTGGAGGATCGGTATTGGATCAACCGCACTAGATTCGGCGCCCCAGACCCTTGAACAAGAGCCTAGAGCCCTGTTTGTCGGGCCGGCGCAGTTCTCAGAGCCCAAGCCGGGAGCGAGAGTGACTTTCGCTCTATCTGGGGTGTGATCAAATCTCCGCACCGCCTTTGGGACTCTGTCGCTCCCCTCTTCCTCCACCCTGCTTTTGAACTTGATCGACTGTCGTTCTGACTATATATTTTTTTTGTTGCTTTGGCGAAATGTCTGTGTATAATATGTCTAACTTTCTGGCTTTTCCGGCCTTAGGTCTACGGCTTTGACCGTCTCGCCCAGCATCCCTCTTCCCCCTCCCCCCCCCCCCCTCCCACCAGGCTACCGACCACAAATCTCAGCTTAGCCTCCTCAATACTTCTTCAATCACCTACACCCGCTCACTTGACTATTGTGACTGCTGCGCAAGAAGATGGAAGTCGCCGAGAGTACAGAGCCCGTGGCGGTGGGTGCGCCACCTGGGGTGGACACCACCATCGCCAATGGGGAACAGAGCCTTCTCCTAGACGATTCGATGATGGGTGACGACCGATCGAGTAGTCTTAGTGAGATTGATGATGTGTCCGAAAATATACCATCCGATTATGAGTCTCCCAAGCCTGAGAGGGTGGCCCCAGAAAATGACTCGGAAGCGGAAACAGAGCGCATCGAGGACTCCCCAAACTTCCGTGCCAAAACAAACATTGTCGTGAGTGCAGCTGCTTATGAGCCAAGCCCCAGCAAATTGGCCCAATCGACGACGTATGATGATGTCGAAGATGAAGAAGAACATGCTGCAGACGATTCACCCAGCAAGCCTCGCGCCAGAATCAACCGCATCAATGACGTGGTTGATGAGACTTCTGGGCGCGAGGGCTCAACGCTATCAATAGAAGGCACTGGCAAAAAACGCAAGCGCTTGGAGTCCGGCGACGAGCTGGGTACCGAAATTGACGAAGATGACTTACCGTCACAGAAACGTCGCGGCTCAATGAAGAGTGATTTGAGCGACCCACCTCCAGACGATATCGCCCTAAGCCCCGAGCCCATGGAAGACCCGTCTAAAACCATTGAAGAGGATACACCGGCAGATGAGACGCCCGAGTTAACCTCGCACACAGTCCCCGCGAAAGGTAAAAGGGCAAAGAAGGGCAAGCGGAAAGGACGGAAAGCTAGAGATGCAGATGACGATATGGATAACGGCATCGGTGACATGGGCGCGGAAGTCGATGACAATCTCGCGGAAGACGACACCGCTGAGCGCGGTGAAGATGTGGACGACAGTGAAGCTGCTGCTAAAATTGAAGAAGAGTGTAAGTCTTCGGATCACGCTCTATCACGATGGACACATAGCTAACATGTTACTCCTAGCAGCGAAACGAATGGCTGCCATGGATTCATTAGCTGTATTAGAAAGAGAATTCGCAACGCTGCGTGACAAGTAAGTTGCTGCCACCGCCGGTTTCACCTGGCCCCTCATAACTGACCTATGTAACTTGGTTAGAATATACGACGAGAGAATCTCCAAACTGAATCGGGAACTCGAAATGTTGAATGGTCCGAATCCAACGCACCCTGAATTCCTGCGACAGCTCGACTGCCTCGCCCGCTACAGAGACTCAAAGATCAAATATGAGCACACGCTATTCCAGTACCGAATACAGGCTCTGCTGAACAAGAGTTTGGCTGAACGAGCGCAAGCACACAGCACATATTTCCAGCGGACTCGGGATATTCGCGAGAAGAATTCTAGTGCGATCAGCAAACAATTCTACTCTATACAGCACGATCGATTCAAGACGGACGACGTCAGTCCACAGCATTATATTCCTTTCCCGACGCGTCGCTCACAACAAATCGCGCATCAAACAGCGTATAATCAAGAGGTCTCGATCATGGCCGGAGTCGCAAAATACGTTGGATTTCCTGCGGCGCCTTCGCTGTCCGCGGCGCGACCTTCCGAGCTGGAAGATGACCTTGAGAAAATGGGCGTAAGTCATCTCAGTCATGCTGCAAATCATCGGCAACCCCTGCTAACGTGCCCTTATGCTCAGATATCTATCGAAACAAAACCCCCACTTGCTCAACAGCAACCTACCTTACCCCGGGGAACTATGCCAGCCATGTCATCGAGCGTCTTCCGTACATCAGCAGAGGAGGCTTTCTTGGAGCAGACACCATGGGCCAACCCTCAACATCCCGTCCATCAACACCAACCATTTTCACAAAGACCCAAGAACCGAGTTTACGAGAATCCCCGGGCCCCTGCATACACTACCCCTGCTGCTCAGAAACGAGTGGTTGATATCCACGCACCCAACGGCTCAGCCTCCACCATCGCGGAAAATTCATCAGCCAATAACACCCCGTTCGATCAAGAACAAGCTCCTCCAAATCTTGGCCATTTCGTCAACCCCGATTATGATGCAGACCGGAGGTCTGGATTTCGATCTCTAAGCTCCTCCCCGCTCGACGTGCGAAAACCACATCCCGCCTCCTACAGCGCTTTTGACCACCGCTCCCCTCAAGGCACCTCTCAGCATGCTGCTTACTCTCCCCCATCGGCCCGCCTGGGCCTTTTTCAATCGGCCTCGTCCAAACGAGAGCCATCTCCTTCTCTCTCCTCCCGGCCTGCCAACTCCTTACATCAATCGGCTGGCATCCTAGGCGGCCCCGGCTCCAATCAGATGGTCGCTCGATAGAACAATACCTGTATAAGGCATGCAATCACCTCACAGTAACGGCAAACGGGTTCGCATTAGGGCTGGGCATTTTCTGCGATGTATAGGGGTTTTCTTTTAGGGTGTTCTAGAGAGTTCTTTTCCCCCCCCTCATGTATGTACGGATACGGGATGTATGACTGGAAATCACCGGGACGAATTGAAACCTACCATCTATCTCTGTTTTTCTTGCCTGCTACGGTCTGGGACCGTCCTGTGTAAATAATGGAGAGATGGCGACTGTGTTTTGCTTCTGTGCTATTTTGTCTGAGGGTGAATGATCTCCAAGATGAGTTCTTATGATGTTATTCAAGCATAAGCACCGTGCCTTCTGCTCTCATTTTTACTGGCGATGTTTAGATACCTTCCTACCTTGTACCTATTTATGATTATAATATTAGTTTGGTCATTTCCTGCCAATCATGATTATTACCGCTCAAAGCAAGAATAAGAAGGAAATCAGCAAGAGTCCGTGCGGTGCGTTGAACCGATACTGATAAGCATGCGGTGAAAGACGGAGAGACTATCTATAGTGTGTGTATCAAGTATCGAGTATGTCTGAGTACTCCGTACATAGTCATCAGTACATAGATTACTGAGTAGGATACTATAGTATAGTACTAGTAGGTAAGATCCGACGCTGGTCCGACATCTCCGACTGGCAGCGGGCGGTTAGTGGCGGCAGTCGAGAAACTTACTCAAGTTATTTGTACTATAATCCGATTGTGGAACGGATGGAAGAATGAATGGAAGGCGGAGTGGGGAATTGCCCGCCGCTTCGTCCTATCGACTTCCGGAAGATCTCCAGTCGGCAACGTAAAAGAAACTCATCTTCGTCCATCCAAGAGAATTTGGTTCTTTTTTTTTTTCTTCTTTGGAATTTTTTTTTCTTCTTCAGCAGGGAGTTTGGTCCTTTCTACGCCCTTGGGAGTCTTGGCAGGTTCGCATTTGCATTCCGGCAAAAATTATATTAGGTAGTCCTTTCTTTCGAGGGGGTTCTGTTCTTATTACAAATCTGTCTGTCTTTCTACTCCGTACATTCTCGTGCTTACAGCCTGCACAAAAACCACTCCAACTTCATTCAGTCTATTACTTCCTATATAAGTCAACCTGTTGGTCCTGTGTCCATCGCAAACGGCAACGTTGAGAAATCACATCATTTCTTTGTGAAATTGGCTCACTAGCATAGCATACTATATAATCGAAGCCAATCCTCCTCCTGGTTTCTTTGATCTCTCAAACCCTCTTTCCGCATTCAACCAACCCCATTTCGTCATAATGGTCGCTCAAAACGGAGATTCCGTCTCTCAGGCACGCGGCTTCGGAACTTTGGCCGTGCATGCTGGTGCTCCCCATGATCCTACCACCGGCGCTGTCATTGCTCCGGTCAGTTCTCCTCGCCAGGAATTCGGTTATCACGCAACTACTAACTCAAAAGAACTAGATCTCTCTGTCTACTACATTCGCACAAACCAGCGTTGGTTCCCCCGTCGGTCTTTACGAGTACACTCGCAGTTCGAACCCAAACCGGTCAGTGAGCTTGGGGTCCCTCCCAAACTGACGGACACTGACTATTAACCAGAGACAACTTCGAAGAAGCTATCGCTGCCGTTGAGCACGGTAAATATGCTCTGGCCTTTTCCTCCGGATCTGCCACCACTGCCGTGATTCTGCAGTCTCTCGCTGCGGGCTCGCACATTGTCTCCGTCTCCGATGTGTACGGCGGTACCCATCGCTATTTCACCAAGGTCGCATCTGCCCATGGAGTTGAGGTGACGTTCACGCCCAGCATCGAGGAGAATGTCGAAAAGTTGATCCGCCCCAACGAGACCAAGCTGGTCTGGATCGAGACCCCTTCCAATCCTACCCTCGGTTTGGTCGATATCGAGAAGGTTGCTGCCATCGCGCACAAATATAACATTATTGTGGTCGTCGACAACACTTTCATGAGCCCCTATGTTCAAAACCCCCTGGATCATGGTGCCGACATTGTTGTGCACTCCGTCACCAAGTATATTAACGGTCACTCGGTAAGCTTGGCTTCGAATTCCCCACCAGTAGGACCTATCGGCTAACACTAGGAATAGGATGTCCTCATGGGTGTTGCGGCGTTCAACTCGGACAGCTTGAAAGAGCGTCTTACTTTCCTTCAGAACGCCATCGGTGCCGTTCCGTCGCCCTTCGACTGCTGGCTCGCTCACCGCGGTCTGAAGACTCTACACTTGCGTGCGCGGGAGGCCACCACCAATGCCACGGCCGTCGCCAAGGCCCTTGAGGCCTCTCCCCATGTCATTTCCGTCAATTACCCTGGTATCGACTCTCACCCGCAGCGCGCTATCGCTGTCAAGCAGCACCGTCAAGGCATGGGTGGTGGTATGCTGAGCTTCCGTATCAAGGGTGGAGAGCAGGCTGCCCACTTGTTCTGCAAGTACACAAAGGTCTTCACCCTGGCGGAGAGCTTGGGTGGCGTTGAGAGTCTTTGCGAGGTTCCCGCGGCCATGACTCATGCTGGTATTCCCAAGGCCGATCGTGAGATCGCCGGTGTTTACGACGACCTCGTTCGCATCTCTTGCGGTGTTGAAGATGCCGAAGACCTAACGGCTGATGTCCTTCAGGCCCTTAAGAAAGCCGTGGCTGCTAGCCGCCCCATTGAGAACGGCAGCGCTTGATTGAATGGTCGTCGAGGATTGAGAACTGTTTACAGCAATAGAAGATAGACCCGTTAGAGGGCTAGATCAATCCCATCGATTGAAGACTCGGTGGAAACTAATCGACGAAGCAAGGCATGGAACATTGTGCATGGTGAGGAGCTTGCATAGAACCTCATCCCTCTGGTTAGAATTACGAATCTCCTTGTGAAATAATTATGAGCGCAGCATACACGGTTGATAATGAATATATCTGTTTCTGGGCTAAATACTTATTGAAGTGTAGTACTCAAGACTTGAATCTAGTGTATTGCAATCACATAGAATATTCGAAAATACTCGTTGAACCAACTCCCGACAAAAAATGTTCGTAGGCCTTGAGTGAAAAGAGAAGTCTGGTTCTTGCATTGTTTGTATGGAAATCGTCGGTCATACAAAAGATGATTAGTCATCTTTTTTTTTGTCCTGGCCTGCAAAAAAAATTTAGAGGATCAAGACCTCTTCAGGCTGGAGATCGACCACGCGTGGTAATATTGCTAACATCTTGGGCACAGTAAAAGCTGCCATTCTATATACCATAGCTCAAAGAATCTGTTTCTCTGAGCTTACACGCTGTTGCCGAAGAACCGCAAACTCATTTGTACGCCAGCAGTGCAATCTATAAGTTACAGGATACCCCACCTCATTTCGACCGAAAGTAACCGGGAGACTGTTACAGTGCACATTTCAGAATTCCTTTTGCGCGATTAACTTCGTGGTGAAAGAAAGCTGTAAAAGGAAAAGCTAGCGGCTAAACTGTGGAATTGCCTCAATCATGTCGTCCACATTCAGCTTTGGCTTTGCGGGGGATGATATTGATATTGACGAAAATGATACCGGCGATGTCAATCAAGAAGGCTTCACTTTCCGACAAGGCATTAGTGCTAGACTGCCCGAGTTGGTGCCAGCCAGGCGTCATGATATGTCAGAGTGGGTAAGTCCTTGTCGGAAGCAAGCTCTCAAATCCCAGATCTGCTTCATGCAAGATGTGACAAGGTGTAACCGTGCTGCAGATTCCCTCGCTTCCCTCACAAATCTCGTACAACAAGCTTGCCATCCCTATTTCTCAGCATGGAAGCCCAGGGAAGCTAGTGACGCTTGCACGCCGGGATGTTTACGACATTCGAACCCAGCTGATGGCAGAAGACACTGCCGAAGACAGAGAAGACAACTATGAGCTGATCACTGGGCTTGAGAAAGGCGACATCAAGCCCAACTTCTACGAGGGTGGCTTTAAGACGTGGGAATGTGCCTTGGACCTGGCGAAACTGCTTCTCGACGCTAATGCGATGAATGCGATGACGGAAACTGACGGCAAACGGCATTTCATCGAGGTGAGTAGATGCAAGGACAGTTGGGACGGCCCACTGGCTCGAGGAGCTCATACTAATGCTCCGATGACTTGTAGCTCGGGGCAGGCACTGCCGTGCCATCCTTAGCCCTGTTTGCACAGCTGCTATCAATGGAGCCCAATGCTCAACGAAGGGTCCACTTCACATTCGCGGACTACAACTCCGCTGTTCTCCGTCTCGTCACTTTCCCGAACCTCCTTCTGACATGGAACTACATCGTCTCGGCACAGGGAACGCCGCTCTCTGCCGAGTCTCTATCGCCCGAAGACGGGGACACTGAGGATGAATTACTGGAAATTAGTCCCGAGCTTGTCGCGAGCTTCCAGAGAGACCTGGAAAGGCAGGGGATTACTGTTGAATTCGTCTCCGGCGCTTGGTCGCCCGAATTCGTGGACTTGGTGTTTTCATCCGGTGAACAGAGTAGAAGCGATGCGTTGATTCTCGCAAGCGAGACCATCTACTCTCCTGCCTCGCTGCAGGCCTTTTCGGAAACGTTGCTTGCTTTATTGCGTCGGCCTGCGCAGGAAGGATTCTCAAGCCAGGCTTTGATAGCGGCGAAGAAGGTCTACTTCGGCGTGGGTGGTGGGGTGGATGAGTTCCTTGCTGTGGTGGGAGGAATCAGTGGCGGTAACTTGAGGGTGCAAGAGCGACTAGATGTCAAGTCTGAAGGTGTTGGAAGAGTAATTCTCGAGATCGTGCTTGGATAGGAGTATAGAGTACTCGGTATGCAGTTCTGGTATTGCCATGATGGTGCTAGAATATTAGTAGTTAGTTGGGCTTAGATAAACATGCACTCTCATTGGTTCGGGCGCGGAAGCGAACATGATCTGTTACGTAGCTGTGTCTGCGCTGTTTAAGACTCACTCTATGGCACTACTTGTAGAACAGCCCCAAGGGTGAATCGTCAAGAATCTGGCTGAGTAGAAAAGAAAAAAAGAGGCATCGAGACCTTTTTCCTCTGTCTTGTTATATGTACATGTACAACGCGTCGTGCTCCCCAGGTCTACCGACAGAGTTTTGTGACCAAATAATTCAAATCAATTCAGCTTAACTATTCGTAGAGAGAAACGACCTTGCCATCCTTCATCCGGGCAACACGGTCCTCCTCAATGGCCTGATTCTTGCGCTCGTAGTGTGCGACAACCTTGCTGAGGTCCGCATCGTAGCCGGCGACAAGGTTGATAGGCTGAACGGCGTGGAAGCTGACCCTAAAAAGTGCAAAGAGCATACGTTAGTGCCCGCGATTCTGAAAATAGGAAGGCTATAGCAATTTCGTACTCGGGCTGCATCAATCCATATGTTTCGCTAGGGCCCTGACTGGCGAACAAGTGGCGGTCGCGAGCAGCCTTCTCCATTACCGCCGTCCGGATGGCGTTTCTCTGCTCAAAGACCTGCTCCGAGGGAGTCCACTTCTGGATGAGGTTGGAGATCCAAGACTGGGAGCCGGACTCCTCAGTGGCCTTGTGGATGCGGTGGATAACGTAGCAGGCAGCGAAGGTGCCGACGGTGACGTAGAAACTCCGCTGTAGGGATTGGCCGATCTCAAAATTAGCCCAATTGACTCATTTGAAGAAGCAGGAACAATGCGATCTTGCAGCGTAGGATCCTAGCAACCATCGCGGGCGACACGGATTGGGGGGGGGGGGGGTCAATCGTTCCCAATTGGAGGGAACCGTTAGGTAGGGGAACGTACGCCGAAGCTCTCGTTCACAGGGGCAGCGTGGTGAGCTGCATGAGAGCCAAATCGATGGGGCTGCTGGTTCCGCAGCAGTAGCCGCGCCGAAGCTACCGATCGCCTGGCAAAGAACATGGTGTGGGAGAAGACAATTGGCAGCGCCGAACAATCACGATGCCGTCGCTGGGGCTTGCTGGTGAGGTTGAAAGCGCAGAAGGACGGCTCAAGGCGGATATCACGTGATATAATATCTGGATTGGGCTTAGGGTTGCCATGCTCGGGTCTTAACCCCAGCGGGATTAGCGCGGTCGTTGTACCTTAGGTAAGTAAAGGCAGGGCCCGACGCCGCCGCTGCGGTGAACTTGGGACAGCATGTACTGTACGGAGCACTGTACATACATCCATAATGTACTCCGTGATGACTACCTACTCCCGGGAAATCATCAGGTTGCTTCTTCTTGTTGTCAAAGCATCATGTCAGTCTCTCTGGCAGCCTAATAAAAGCTGCATGTTGGTCAAATGTGAACCCTCGGACCCTCGGGCCATCGCCTTACCTGCATTAACTACCTATTATTCTCCCTCTTCTTTCCGAGGGATCAGGGAAACCCTTCGCCTTGAAAGTTGAACCCCCCTCGAACGGTGTTTGGTGGTGCACTGACTGGCTGGTGCATGGCGGGTGCATGGGCCGACGACTGGCGGGTCGCTCGCTGTGTTGGCTTCCTTGTCAATACCTAATAGCGACTAGACTAGGTAGCGAGCGAGTCTACACTCCCAAGTCCTCTACACCGCACCCCAGGCTGGTGGCCCTGATGCATGGCTAACTGCCTCACTTCAACATGGCGCTCCCCACTACTCACTCTTAGCGCGATGTCAATTGGGTTTCATCTTGTGCCAAATCATGTGGACTCCGCGTCCTCTGGTTATCAAGGGGGACATGTCATCGATCTGTACTTAGCGTTGTCCCACACCATACCCCACCCACATACTCCTCCCAACCAGTAAGTACCATCTTACTCGAGTACAGTCCTGTCCCCCCCGGCGGCGGTGTTTGAAGAAGATTTCAGGCTATCGAGCTTGGAATAGCTATTCGTTCTTACTCATAGTCTATTTTCTCCTTTCCCCGCCCTCTTCTGATTCTTCCGGTCACCGCGAGTATCGCGTCTTTGATGCCCAATGCGTGAGGTGATTGGGTCTGGGATAAGTCGGATCTCCAATGCTTCGGTCCACCCTTCTGACTCCTTTCTTTTGCCCCTCCCCAGAGGTGTCTGCATGCTTGCCTTCTGTGCCTAGTTGGCCTCCGTATCCACGACCGACGATGGGTATCAATCGTCCTCTAAGGTTCGGTCCGTTTGACGCCTTGCCCAGCCCCCTTGAGGCTGGTTGAAATGACTCTTTCTCACCATGCGATTCATTCCCGGTTTGGGCGTCTCTGAGAACCGGTTATTAGCTGTCCAAATTTCCCTCCACGTCCCTCTTCTCTTTGGTCCCCAGCCCTCAGCATCCCAACTATTTTAAGAGCCAGCGTGTGGAAAGCCATCCTGGCATTCCGAGTTGTCTGCCCGCCGGCGAAGCTGCCATCTGACACCCAGTCACTTGCCTTCGTGTATGGCACTCATTTGTGCCCACTCCCTGCATATTCTCTAATTCTTTCTTTATTCCTCCTATTTTCCTAATCCTTTTCTCCCCCTACCCATTTTGCCACCGAAGAACTCTGTCTGATCGTGTGATCGCCCACGCTTCCAGACTGACCAATTTCGGTTCCTTGCGTTCGCTCTGTACCTATACGGAGCCGGAATATAACTTGACACCGCCGAACGCGCCTGCAAATGTACATTGTTAAACCCACGTTCACCCAATCGAGCCTCTACTGATAGAATCAAGTTTCTAGCTTACTGGGAACACGTCTGTCAGCCTTACTTTTCAACTTGGGCACGCACTACTATCAGTCATGGCCAAAAAGAACAACAAGGCTAATAACAAACAAAAGAATAAGAAGGGCAAGAGTCAAGAGGCCTCTGGGACCCAGACACCTCAGCCCGAGCCTGCCGCTGTCGAGCAGGATGAACAACTAAATCAACAAGAGACACCTCAACCTGAGCTACCTCTCGAAGAACAGCAAGACGAACAGCAGGAACTCTCTCAACCGGTGACCCCCAGTCACGAACAGGAACCACAAGACTTAGGCTGGCAAGACCAACAACCAGAGACACCTCAACCAGAGCTTTCAGAACAACAGCAAGTACAGCACGACACACAGCCAGAACAACAACAAGAGCAGCAGCAGTACGAGCAAGAACAACCGCAAGTCGAAGCTGCCATTGAATCGCAACCAGCAGCGGCAGAAACCATTTCTGAAACAATAGCAGATCCTGCATTGGAACCAGAGTCGGTGCCACCCCAAGAATCGGAACTGGAGCAACCACCAGCTGTTGTCGAGCAACACTCGACTATTCCTGAAACCGAGGCTCAAGCTCAGCCCCCGGTGAGTGACGAGGGCTGGTCTGCTCAGCCAGCCAATTCGGATCTTGCTCCTAGCCAAGAGCCAGACGTGAACCATGTACAGAACAGCCCCGAACAACCACAAGAGCCAGCCTGGGAGGCAATAGGCTCGCCGGAAACCCCTGTGATAGAGGCCGAAGGGACTCAGGAGGACAATCAATTTCTGGTTGAGCCCAGTGGCACTGCAGCGCCCACGGAGGAGAACCCAGTGACAGCACCACAAACACCGCTTGAGCCCACGTTCGTCCCAACATCTGCAGAGCCCTTGGAGTCTCCTGCGCAAACAGAGGATCAGTTCGTGGCAGCTCCTGCCTACGCTGACGCCGCGGATTCTGCTGGCGACTTGCACAACCCTGTCATGTCTGAGTCCTTTTCCGAAGCAGAGCTCGCTCAGCCCATTCCTGAATCCGATTCGCTCCCCAAGCAAACAACTCCACCCTCTTCTAAGCCTGCGTCTCCTATTCCTCAAGCAGCTTCACCGATTCCTCCCGCTGCATCTCCATCCTTCAAATCCGTTTCGCCTGCTCCGCAGAGTGCTGCTGCGACACCACGTGCTCTTTCGCCCGTCCCGCAATCGGCTCCGCCTGTACAACAGTATACCTCACTGATGGCTGAAACTATGATGCCAGAAGAGGAGCCTGCTGTTCTGGCGCAGCAGGATGCGTTTCCTACACCGCCAGCTGAGTCCCCAGTATTTCAGCCAACCTCACCCATGGCGCAACCGACGTCCCCAGATCAGAGAACAGCCTCTCCTGTGGCGAAAACAATCTCTCCTGTCCAGAAACATATTTCTCCTGTCGCCAAACCCGCGTCTCCAGTTCCGAAAGTCAGCAGTCCACTAGCACGGGGGCACATGTCGCCCGTAATGTCTCCTCAGTCGGCCCCGCCGCCAATGGGGCAAAGAGTGCCCTTGCAGGCCATGCCACCCTATCCTCCATCCTATCATTCGCCTATGATGAGCGCCAATGGGTACTTGCCCCAGTATGCCTACTATCAGCCATCTCCTAACGTCCACCCCACACCTCGAGGCTCCATAGATCCAGGCTCAGCAGCATCTTTCCAGATGTTGCGCGACCTGGGCTTTGCCAATGGACATGGTCTCAATGGGAAGGGAGGCACAATCTCTCCTCCTGAACATGAGGAGCCTATCGAGCTCCTTCAAAGAATTCAGGACGCTATTCCTGACATCGGCCGACTGCTCTCGAGTTACAAGAATACCAAGGGCAAGCTCCAGGCACGGGAGGCTGAGTTCAAGCAGATGGAGAGTCAGCATGAGCAGGCTTTGATGCACAAGGATTTCTACATCGAGGCACTCCAGAATCAGATGCGGAAGACTGCGAACGAGAGTGCCGAGGAATCCACCAGGCTCAAGAACACGATCAACGAGCTGCGGATGGAGCTGGGCAACCTTGATGAAAAGCAGAAGGATCTTGAAGAGAAATTGCTTGAGTTTGAAAACTCCAACAAGGAGCTCACCCAATCCAAAGCCGAGCTTGAGGATAAGGTTGAGTCGCTCGACAGCAGCCTGAAAGAGGCGTACGAGACCTATGAGCGAGACATGGACAAATCCAAAGAGGAAAAGGCGGAGGCTCTTGCAACCCAGAAGCAAGAGTTGACCGAGCTTTTCGAAGAGATTAAAGCGGAGGATGAGAAAGCAGCAGCAGAAGCCCTGGCAGCACGCGAGCGAGAATTACTTGACCAGCAAGATGCGATGAAGAATGAATACGAGAACCAGAAGCAGCAGATGCAGGAAGCACATGACACCCTACAGGCCGACTTTGACTCCAAGGTGACTAAGCTGGCCTCCACCAAAGAGGAGCTAGAGACGAGGACTACCGAACTCGCCGACAAACAGAAGGAATTGGAGGACACCTGTGAAAGACATGCTCAGGAGCTGGATGCAGCCCACCAAGCGCACGCTAGCGAAGTCGAGTCTCTTAACAACAGTCATGCAGAAGAAGTGGCTGAGATGAAGAAGGACTTTGCCGATCAGCAGCAGCAATGGGCGGACGAGAAGTCTTCTCTCGAGCAGCAAGTCGCAGAGAAGACCGAGACCATCGAGAACCTCGAGCGTGAGAACAAGAAACTCGAGGAGGATGTTGCTGTCAAGGAGAAGCAGCTTCAACACGCGGTGGAGAATATGCGCCTCACAATCGACAACTTGGACAAAGATTGCGATAGGTTGAGAAAGACCCTACACAGCCTTGGAGAAGCAACTGACCTCAAGAGCACGAAGGGTGATTCTTTCTTGTAAGTGACCTAGTGCATTGAGAATATGTTTTAGTACCCGACTTTCGTTCAGAGAATGTGTTTTCCTGTGTTTACTTCTCATTTCTTACGGGACTCGAACTCCCCGATACTTGCATTTGACTTGATGATACGTCTGAATCTCTCGTTCGCTTCCCTTTCCTTCTTGCATGAACCAGATCGACTCACAATCATTTGTTTTCTCCTTTCCTATGTTGTCTGTTTTCTCTATAGACTGATTATGATGATGATGACATGTTGATAACGCTATAAATGTACGTGCTCTGATAAATATTCCGACTTCTAGTTTGGACTGCTTCGGCCAACTCTCTCGTCTTATTGTCTCCCTGTCTAAGGAGCACTTCTCGTACCTCCCAATTGATCCTCCCAAGGACATCCTCTCCAAGCTTCCACCTGAGCTGCCATCGTTCCTTGATAACACTCCGGCCTCGCGTGAACTACGCTCCGCTTATGTCCAACATGTCGTGTCTAAGACATTGACTTATCGGATCTTCCACCCTTTCCTCTTTACCCTTGGCCGACGGTACGATAAGGCGGACACTTTCTTCCAGATGCTTTCGATGGACATCCGACGCAAATCCGTGCGACGCGAAGCGTTCTGGAGACAGCAAACACTGAAGGCAGCTTACACTACATCGGATGCCAAGCAATCAATCAATGTGGTTGCTGCGGTCATTGTTGATGAGATCATTGATCAGCTTAAGCACTTTGCAGACCCCCGGAATTTGGACGCGCTTCTAGTTGGCGTAAGGAAGATCGTTAAGTTAGCAGCCGAAACTTGGCGACTGGCTCGGGTTGAGCGAGAGCTCATTTTGGCTTCACTGCCAGCGCCGGACGCCGATATCGTCCCCAACGACGATTGGGCGGAATATGGGACTCCCAAGGAAGGTACTCTTAGCTCCAAGGAGGACCCAACACGTCATGTCATCCTCAGAACCTTTCCCCGAATCACTCGCGAAGCAGCTCATGAGGACTTTATCGGAGAAGAGGAGAAGTCTCAACCTTGCACCTACTCGCAGGGTTGCGTCCTCTACTCCGATTCTCCCGTGGTAATGGCCCGGCTGCAAGAGCTGGCAAAGAAGTCCACGGACGCCTTGGCTAGTGGGGATGAATCTTCCCGCCGTGGCTCGCGTGAATCGATCCACCGTGATGGGGATGTCCCTTCATCCAAAAAGAGGAAGGGAAGCAGGGATGAGATGAATGGCGCACCGGTGGACATTACAGTATGAACACGCGGATCGCAGGACGCCATCAGAGGGGGGGGGAGGGGTGAGTTACAACTAATATATTTGTTTGATTATTGACGCCCTTGGACTTGCTTTCTACTTCTATTCTTCTCCGTGGGTGTACTCTTCTATCCTTTTACACCGCATACTTGTGCTTGTTATCATTAGGCATGGTGCTGCAGCTTACGGAAGTCCTTCAAGCTTCCGCTTACATTCATTTGACAGGATCTGGGTTTCCTTTCTTTACACCAATGTCTCCTCACGATGCTCCTCGATTAGGGAGGACTTTTTCACTCTACGTTGACCTCGTTTCTCATCAATGTATTATCTCTATCCTTTCCACGCTATGAAGCGCAAGATTTTATTCTTTCCCTGTCTCTGTAATCATTCTGTGTTCACTGGTGTTGGTATCTCGTGTTGTTGTGGTTGTTTCTTATTGAAATCTCTTGTTTCAATTGAGCGAGTTAAGCGATTGTCCGTCGATCTGATACGGCATGTACCATATATTGCCCTGGTGAGTCTCCAAGAGACGTCAACACCTCCACCTGTGATTCTTGTACATTTAATTTGTTTTGGCTGCTCTGTGCGTGAGATGGCTGGCAAAGGTTTGTCGAGGGATGTTTCTATGTATTTTCCTATGCCTCCGGTTTGAGGAATGATATCGTGTTGTAAGCACAGCCACAGACACGATGTCAATTGAACCCACGAGTCCGGGCGCTGCCGTGAAGATGAATGAAATTAGCCCAACGACTTGGTAAACAGGGAAAACGAGATACTAGGCAAGGCAAGACTAAAGCAAAGTATTACAATGTAAGACTCAGTGTCCTGAGTACCTGGTTGGCCATAACTGATGCGGTCTTCTGTGCAGCCCCTCCTGTAAATGGTTGGGGGGAAGGATTGACAGGGCTGAGGAATGGGGCTTGGAAGGAGGCTGAGTCGGTCCGAGTCCACTACGTACTATCAGAATGATAATTTTGATGATGGTTAAGGAAGAAGTCAAGGATAGTAACCGTTCTAGTACAGTATGTACTGGAATAGTGGCTTAACTAGGCTGTCAGTACTTTGAAGTTGACGCTATCTAACCTACCACTACTACGTAGTATTCACACACTCGTATGAAATAACAATGAGTACTCAACTCATATCTATTGTAACACCTTGCGATGACTGAAGAATCCACGGACCCTCTTCAAGTGGGGCCGAAGACAAGCCCTGGAATTTCCCTTTCCCCCCCCAGTGCCCCCACGCTCTAACCACGGTTCATCTCAAAGATTGGTTTGAAACAAACCCCGTACTATCTAGTATCGAAGAAGGGAAGAAGTAGGACACAAGGTGGTTGAATAGTTAGGATTTGACCAGATGAAGAATTGGTCATGTTGTTATAATTTAAATTATTATGAAGTATGTACATACAATACTAACCTCGCCCAATCTTCTCGCTGACTGGCCCCAATGGTACTTGCTGTACTACCCAGGCACTAGGTGGTAAGTGAATTAGTACTCGACTTAACCAACTGTCTTGGCTATCTTGACTAGACTAGAGTCTACTATGGCTAGTTAATATCTCCTTGAGGCTTACAAAATCCCCCTTTTCCCTTTTCTTACGTGTTCCACCTTGAAGTGAATTGTGGCTCAGTCAGAGTGCAAGGCACATTTTCCCTTCTGATCTACGGATCCTACTGTTACTTCCCGGCAGGATCGTGACATCAACTCTCTTTTCTCTTTAACATGTTTGCTTACCACATCTACCCCCGTTAGCTTTTACAGCATTTCCCTCACTCTGCTCATACTCCTCAGTACTGCGCCTTCTTTTATTTCTCGAGTCTCAGTTGCTGTTTTTCTGTCGAGGTTCTTTTTTTCTGGTGGCTCGTCCGCCCGCCTCGCAAAGAGCCGCTTGTCACTCGGCCTTATTAGCGCCATACAATATTATCCTTCTTCCCACTTCTTCCCCCCCCACCCCCTTCTCTCTTTTTCATTCAGGTCTTTTGAAGCATCCTATCTATTCTATATCCCTGACACATCTGCCTACACACTTGACTTCCTCCTAATTGTAATTTTTTCTCCATCCTCTCTTTCGCCATCTCTGTTCTTTGGTGAGCTCCAGATCTCCGATCGCACGCCATTCCATTATTATCGCTGGCCCATTGAATCCTGATTCCTGCCCGCGTTCCTGACGCCTTCCTACTCTCTGCTGCTAGCTCGCTACTCATCGGCACACGGATAACAACAGCATAAGCTGATTTTCCTCCAGCTAGATTCGGTCCTTCCCGGGGGTTTTCTCGTGGCGTTTTCTGGACGGAGACTGTCCTGCGACAACTTCTTTAACTCCATTCTAGCATTCTCACCGCCCGGGTCATGGTTCTATAGACATGCCATCGAAGACAATCCGACCCGACTCTCTGTGTCCAGTACGATTTCTCTAATTTTATGCTAGTTTCAGAAGAGCAGGGACAACGCTACTTCAATCCCCCTCCTTCAGAAAGTCTTCTCTGTGCATTCCAAGAAACGGATATCAGCACCCGTCCCAGCGGATCAAGATTCCTAGATTGAACACTCGTCTGCCTTGGCGATCATGACCGCCAACATGTCTACTTTATCACCTCAGCTTGTTCAGGATGACTCGCCCACTGGAATGAGTTTCCATGACGTCAATTTTTCCGATCCCTATCTCTCAGCTCCTGTGGACCCTGATGAAGCCTCCTTCAAGTCGTCCGCTATAAGACTAACGCCGGTCAACGAGAACGATCATGGCACCGCACTTTCTGCCTCTCTGCTAGCACAGTCTTGTACTGAAGATCCTGAGATTATCAACGAAGGCCCGGAGGCATCTTACTCGGACTTTCTGAGCCCAACAGACGACTTTTCCAGCGATTTGAGTGCGCACACATCCCCTAGCGTAGATCTCATGTCTAGCAGTCTGACTGTGGACGGGAAAACGGGCCTTGGTGTCTGGCAACATGGCAACAGGGTGGAGCGGAGTATACCGGGCCATGAACCTGTGTTACATGCTGCGGCTCCGCAAAGCGCAGCAGAGCCGTCACAAACAATGGCCATGAGAAGCCCAAACATTTCCTCAGAAACAGCCGGCGATCAAATTGAGGCGCGCACTCCAGAGCCTCTTTCGCTGAACACCAACGCACCAAGTGACAATTTGAGTGTACAGGTGGGACCTGACTCAGCCCGAGCACGAAGCCCTATTGTCAAGATCGAGAGTTATTCCCGAGGAGATTCACCAGTCAGGGATGCTTCTCCGACTGAGCGATGGCGGGGCTTGTCGTCCACGCACTTGGCACCCAACGGAATGACCACGGACTTGGAGCTCGAAGAGTTTGAGGTTAGCAACGAAGGCCTCAGCCCGGGCCATACGCCCATATCTCGGACACACGATGGCTCCTGGGTTCCAAACACTGACACGGGCCAGGCTGGTGTCGAACCGCCATCTCGAGCGGATGTTTACATATCCAGTCCAAACGAATTGGAAGCCTGGAGACGACTGGAAGAGAAGAATGCTGATATCCAGTCATGGTCGGCTTCGGTCAGTGCTGCGAATAGCGATGCAGAGGAGGAAATTCTCCTTGGCCGCGGTCGGAAGCGGCATGTTGGCGCTCGACGCAGGGCGAAAAGTGCCGGTGATCCTTCTCTTCAGCAGGATTACTTCAACCTGAAATCCCAGTTCCTAGAGCCGGTTGTTCCTGGACCTGGTATTCTTCTCCACGAAAGCAGTGATGAGGAGCTTAGTGAGTATCGATCTGGTGACGAAAGACGATCTG